TGATTTATCAATTTATAACGTATAAAATTTGCAAAATAGGCGAAAAGTTACTTAAAAGTTACTAAAGGTGCTAACGTCCCAAAAGGTGCTAAAAAGGTGAAATAAAAATCTTCCAAAATACTCCTAAGGTGGTATATGGTGTGCCCCCAAACTTTCAGGAGGTTCTCCGCTTTCGGAACAAAAAGTTATTTAACTTCAAATCAATGCTTTAATAATAATAATAACTGTATTATAGTATAACCAGAATATTCACAAAAGAAACCATTATGTCTATTGTTTGAGCATGGTTAATTTAACTACTATTTCAACCATCGGTAAATACGAAAACTGGTACACTCCATAGGAATACATTATTTTGCCCAACAGTACTTCATTCACAAAATCGATGCCATCATTGGATTCAATGTCTGATTCAATCACTTCTCGAGTATTCAATTCTTTGTCTTGTGTTTCATGTCTTGTATTGTCTTCTCTTTGAGACAACTCTTCAATCAATTCATAACTCGTTTGACAACCGATTGAAACATAACTTGAATTCAGATCTGAATTACAATTCAATTAAAATTATTCATAACATTCGAGCATTTTTCAAAACGACCACTTTTAAGCTTAGAATAGCATTGAATGTATTAAAGCTTGATATCGTATATTGACTGGTATTGACTCACAGATTGAGAGTTTATTTTTAAACCAAGTTTGAAAGTGGTAGTTTTGAAAAATGCTCGAATGTAAAAACAATAAAAGTTTCGCAAAACTTTGTAAAAAAATTACTACAAATTCAGACGTTATTTATTAGACATAAAAACTTATGATTTTGTAATGCATTGAAACTTTCAATTTGAAAGACATGTGAGAAATGTTTGCAAAGAAAACAAAACAAAAAATCAAAACATCTGAAAGAAAACATGAATTCATTATTCAATTCAAACAATTTGTGGTCATTTATAACAAGACATCACATCTCAAGACATTGGTTCTCAACCGGACGTCAGTTGTGGTCACAAACGAATGATCACAACCAAGAGGTGGTCGAAGACAATGCCGAAGAAGTTGAGAGACATTTCGCCGATCTGTCGGTCAAACAGTTTGAATGTTTGGCCAAAACCGCGGATCAGATGAATGACATCGAAATGATATTGTCTTCGTATGAATACGCGAAGTATGAGACACAAGAAGTGCCCTCTAGTCTGACACTCAATGATATGAGAAAACTGATGGCTTTGAAGACCGGCGGCCAACGGAACAGGTATATGAACTCTCTGTACCAGAAGGAGATCCAATCGATTCACTCAAAGAGATTGAGAGCTATTAGCAAGACATTGAAAGAGAAGGAATTGAGTGATAAGTGGATCCATAGGAAGGACAACCGGACCGGTCTTTTCGATGATAACGGAGACATTGCTTACGGTATGAATAGACGGCATGTGTTGTCGATTGTTATGTATTAATCTCTTGTGTTGTCTTTATATGCATCGATGGCTAGGTTTGTGGCGCAACAGTCTCTTCGCCAGAATATCGCCGACAGATATACGCCGATATTCTGTCCATCGATTGCAAAGCGCAGCCCTTTTTGGCCAAAATATTGTGTTTGATTTGAGTTGTGATCCGCAGATGAGTCAAACGAATTGCGCCAAGAATTTGACACAATTAGTGAAAGCCTATCAAACAAATCGGTACTCATTGTCTGAACCCTTTAATTTGCATTTTGCAAACATTGACTATAAAAGTATGGTTTGGGAAGCGGTTCAAAAGAACCAATTGGTGGCAAACTATCCGCACTTTTTGTCCGCATTTACCCCAAAGTCATACTTAGATCTGTTTGACAGAAAAGATTTGGTATATTTGTCGCCCAAAGCGGTCAGAGATCTGAAGTACGAGTCAAACAAAACGTATATAATAGGTTTCGGCGACGAATACTCGTATACTCGAACAGATTTGACTCGAGTTAAGGCATGGAATGAAAGGATTCCAATGAGAAGACTACCAATAGATCGGTACTGTTTGTGGAGTAAAGGCTCCAAAGACTTGTGCTCTAGTGTTGTGCTCCGTATTCTCAATGATATGAGTGATGGCATCGGTTGGCAGAAAGCATTTGAACGAAATATTTCTAAAAATTGCTTCAAAACCGAAGAGGAGATCGAAGCCGAAGAGTTATATCGTAAGAATAAAATGCGAAAACGACTCAAATATCAAAGTTTAAGATCTTAAAGAATTCAGGCATATGTTTACTAAATTATTATTCTAATACAGTACCTGGTAATGGTACGGTAATATCTGTACTGTATTTGTAACCTGATGATATTTAGATATATTTTAATTAAAAGTAAATCAATTGAATATTTAGTTTATGTAAACTAAGAATTGGTATATATAACAATTAATTCAATCCATGCCTTCATTAACGATGGATTAGATATAAAACATAACGATCACAATAACTGGGCATTTGAGTGAAGCAAACAGTTTTTGTTTTGAATAGAAAGAAGGAGCTTTTAATGAAAAAAGTTTAAACATACCGTATATGTACAATACCGTATACAATGAAAATAAATGTTTGAATGTTTGAAAATAAATGTTCAAATGTTTAGAAGTAAATGTTTGAATTTATTAACGGTTTTTGATTGCAATTAATACAAAATCTTAATAACAATGAGTTTATAGCAACTGAAACACCTGAGTTCGTGGTCATAATAGAGATTATTAAGTAATTCTTAAGTTAGCGATGATTTGATGCTGTAGTGCTTGTTGTCCACTTGAATAATATTCGCTCAATTGCCAAATAGAAATAATGCGCCCTTTTCGTAATCCAAATTAAACGCAAAATGGGATATAAATAAAATGTAAATACATTTAATGAGAGTTGTACTAAAGACAAAACATCAATCGACTTAAACATAACCTGTTGTATCGGCGGCTCTTGTTTGCGAGAAGTGGATACCCTTATCAATCGTAACACCTTTTGTTAAATGCCTTCAATGGAGCTGATGAGTGATATAAATACATTAAACACAGACAGGCAAACAAAATGACCACAATGTGATACACCTGAGTTCCGTTGTTTTCAATCTAATGCCCACTTACTTTCAACGCTATTGTCGAGCTTGGATCAGATGAGGTGATGGTTGGCAGTACTGGGAACGCGTGTGTATCACCAGTAGTGCGCTTGTAATACCACTCATACTTCCCACACAAATGATTGGGTTGTTGTTTGAAATGTGCGGACAGAACACCACAACAGGATGTGATATGACTTCCGCTCACAATCGCAAACACTTAGTGAGACATCTGTTGTCAATATTTTTAATGTCTTTTTATGCGTTAAAAATGTTTAAACATTTTTTTCAGTCAAAAAAATGTTCAAACATTCAATTTTAGTTTTCAGTGAGTACAGCGACAGTCGGTTGACTCGAAGACGAATGATAAATGATTTGTACAAATTATTGTCGTTTTATTCATTGTGTTGTCACTATTGCCGGCAAATGATTACCTAAACAATCAATAATACATTTTGGTGCCTAACAATGTGTGCCGAAATGTAATACAGTAACACCGATTCCATAATTCTATCCAAACGTGTCATACTGAGTCTATGTATTTATCATTTAACCCAATAATACATTTTATTATTGAACCGGTAGTACATTTTGGATGCCAATGCATTGTAACATGTTACATTGTCAATGTAGAGGAGACGTGCGCTCAACACACGTGCATTTCAAGCATATCAACAAACATTTCGTAATCAATGTTATGAATGCAATGTTTTGCAAATCTTCTCACTCTTGAGTTGCACTCAATTACTAGTGATTTCATTGTAATTATTAATCAATGTTTTCATTGCAACCAATAATGTGATCGCATTTCCATTAATGGCCACAAATATGACACAAACTTTGTTTTTAAAAAAGTTTTGTCGCGTTTTTGGGAAACATATTTGGAGACAATCGACGGTTAGAAATATTTCATTGCAACCAATAATGTGATCGCATTTCCATTAATGGCCACAAATATGACACAAACTTTGTTTTTAAAAAAGTTTTGTCGCGTTTTTGGGAAACATATTTGGAGACAATCGACGGTTAGAAATGCCAGCGATTCCTGTGAGACACCCATCAAAGTAGCGGTGATAGGGAGCGGACCCTCAGGTTTCTACACCACTCAACATCTTCTTAAGGTTTGTCCACTCGATGTCTGTTCAATGTCTGATCCATTGAAATACATAGAATCCAAGAGTTTGTGTCGATATCTACGAGAAGTTTGCGGTTCCCTTCGGTTTAATCCGTTTCGGTGTCGCTCCCGATCACCAGTCCGTTAAGGTTTGCCAAACACTCAAAGCCATCACATGTTATAAGCCATTTGTCTTTACTGTCTTCAGAATGTCATCAACTCTTTCACCACAACTGCTTCTAACAAAAGAGTCTCTTTTATTGGAAACGTTGGCATTGGATCTGATATTAGTTTACAAGAGATTAGAGACAATTATCACGCGGTTGTCCTCTGCTATGGCGCCTCTCAGGACAGGAAACTTGGTATTGAAGGCGAAAGTCTGTCGCAAGTGGTGTCCGCCCGAAGATTCGTCGGATGGTATAACGGAGTGCCGAGTGATCGACATTTAGATATCCATCTCAACTGCGAGACAGCGGTTATTATAGGACAGGGAAATGTGGCCATCGATTGCGCCAGAATTCTGTTGTCTGATTGCCAGCAAATACTCTCTGTATTTAATTTGTAACTTAATTTACACCTAAAGTATATATGAACTGAGTTTCTATTTTACAGAATACAGACATAACGACCCATTCTTTGGAGAAATTATCCAAAAGTCGTATTAAAAATGTTTATTTAATCGGAAGACGCGGACCAATGCAAGTGTCGTTCACTATCAAAGAGTTTAGAGAACTCACAAAACTTAATGATTGCCAAACTATTATACCCACCGAAGAATGCAATCAAATACCACAAACAATAATCGTGAGAATCATTGCATTTATTATAGCTATTAATTTATATAAAAATATTTAATTGTTTGCTTATGTTTTCACATATCAAAGGAATCACTCGATAGACCAAAGAAGAGATTAACACAATTTGTAATTAAAGTGTCAAAAGAGAGTGCAATTGAATCGGAAAACTCTTCGAAGAGATGTTATGTGAAGTTTTTAAGATCTCCGAAATTAATTAAAGGAAATGAATTAAATGGTGTAAAGAGTGTTGTTCTGGGAGTCAATCGATTTGTTTCCGACAATATATTTGATAAAAATGCAAAAGTGATGACAACTGAAGAGTTGGAAGAAATAGAATGCGGTTTAGTTTTGACAAGTATTGGATATAAAGCCATATTAATCGACAAATGTCTGCCTTTTGATGAGAAGAAGGGAACCATTTTGAATGAAAACGGAAGAGTCGTTGGCTTTGAAACGGGTCTCTACTGTAGCGGTTGGGCCGCATCGGGTGCCTCAGGAGTGATACTCAACACAATGAATGCTAGTATAGAAGTGGCGAAGAATATTCTCGAAGACATCGATTCAAACAAATTGCAAATAAACCATAAAAATGGGAAACAGAATATAATGAAGACATTGTCTTCAAAGGGAGTGAAAGTGATTCACTTCGAAGACTGGAAACGAATTGATCAAATCGAACAACACTTGGGATCAACTAAAGGCAAAATTCGTGAGAAGATCGTCGACTTGAATACTATTATTGATATAATCAACAAATGATTATTCTTTATATAAAATATTTATATATAATTAGAGTTTATTAAAAAATAATTTGTAATAAAATTTTAGAATGATTTTTTAGGTAAATAAACAATGTTTACAATATTATTATTTCATTTGTAACTATAAATTATACTTTAATTGTAGATTAAATTAAATATTTGAATTTAAGTACCGGAATGTCACATACATCCCCATTCATAACATCACAATTCTATACAATGAAAGTTGTTTCATTTTTCACATTTTAAACGAAAGAATATTATAGAAATAGAAAGAATTCAAAGAATCGATTAAAAATCTTACTGTTTAACATAGAGTGCAGGGAATGTATGTAATTTATTAATTTTACGTATATTTTGAACATTTTAGTATATAAATTGTTAAAATTGGATATCTAGTTTTTGAGTTTTAAAATTTTCTACTTCTCATAAAAATTATGCTTGTTTTTACAAACTTTTCTAATCATTATTTTACAAAACACTTACAATGAATACATAAAACTTATAATTTATTTGTATAATTTGAGTATTTTTGGGATTGAAAATATGTCGAATGACACGTAAACGTGTTCATAACTATATGCGGGACAATAGGGTTGACGCATGAGATTGTTGTGTGAATTGAAAAATGCGCTCAAAGTGTGAGTGAAACACATGAGTGAATGAACACATGTTTGCATCGATTGTCACTTCAATTCAAATTCAATTCAAAGTGAAATGCATTGAAAATGAATGAAAGCCAAGGATTGCCACAAACGAAGACAATTGAAGACAAGTGGAAACTATTGCCGGCATTTCTGGAGGTGAGGGGTCTTATCAAACAACACTTGGATTCGTTCAACCATTTCATCGGCAAAGAAATCAAGTCTGTGTTGAAGGCGAATGAGAAGATCACGTGTGAATCGGACGCCAACTGGTATGTCAAGTATCTGGACATCAGAGTCGGCAAACCCGAGATCGAGGAGGGATTCAATGTCGTCCGCACCACCAGTCCTCACGAGTGCCGACTCCGCGACATCACATACTGTGCGCCCATTAATGTGGACATCGAGTACATGAGAGGACCGCAGAAAGTGATCCGTAATGACCACACCATCGGAAGAATGCCTATTATGTTGAGAAGCGCTAACTGTGTGCTGAACTCCAAGACCTACAATGAATTGGTGGCATTGGATGAGTGTCCGTACGATCCCGGAGGCTATTTCGTCATCAATGGGTCCGAGAAAGTGATTCTAATCCACGAACAGCTCTCCAGAAATCGCATTCTCATAGAAGAGGGACCGATATGTCAGGTGACCAGTACTACAACCGAACGCAAGTCCAGAACCAATCTTATTATCAACAAAAAGGGACAAATCGTTATGAAACACAACTCCTTCTTAGACGAAGGCATTCCTGTCTTCATTGTCTTTAAAGCGATTGGCTTTGAAAGCGAGTCAGAAATTGTTGAATTGATTTGTGGCAGCACTTCATCCACCGATGGTATTGATCCGAGTCTTCTGATACCGTCGCTGGAAGTGTGCCATAAGTTTCAGATATGGACCACTGATTTGGCGCTCAAATATATGGCCAACAAATTGAAGTCAAAGACACAGTTCTTTGGAAAACCCGAATGGAATTCATCGGACAGAAGAAAACCCGCGGTTGAGATCGTGAGGGAACTGTTGGTCAATACAGTTGTCGCTCACATTCCGGTCAAAGATTTTAATTTCAGGCTTAAAGCTATATATTTGGCTCAAATGGTTAAACGGTTGATATTAGCGATGACTGATCCGTCATATATCGATGACCGGGACTATTACGGCAATAAGCGTCTTGAGTTAGCCGGTAGTCTCATCGCCATCCTCTTCGAAGATCTGCTCAAAAGGTTTAACTCAGAATTGCGGGTAATTATAGCTTACATGTTATGCCTACTGTTTGGTTGACTATATCTGTGTTTTATATGACAGACAATTGCCGATAAGAATATACCAAAGATCAAAGTGTCTCAGTTTGATATCGTGAAGCATATGAGACAAGACCTGATCACCAATGGTTTGATTAATGCGATCGCAACGGGAAACTGGACTCTAAAGCGGTTTAAGATGGAAAGGGTTGGCGTGAGTCAAGTGTTGAGTCGATTGAGTTATATCTCGTGCTTAGGAATGATGACTCGTATTAACTCTCAATTCGAGAAAACACGCAAAACTTCTGGTCCGCGATCTCTACAGGCGAGCCAATGGGGACTCGTCTGCCCGTGCGATACACCCGAAGGCGAGTCCTGTGGTCTTATCAAGAATTTGGCTCTAATGACACACATTACCACTGATATCGATGAAGAGGCTATTATTCGCATTTGTCTCAACATAGGTCTCGTTCAGGACATAATGTTGTGCTCTTCAGGCGCTCTCATTAATAAAAACTATTTAGTGTTTGTAAACGGACTCATAATCGGTGTCTCGATTGATCCCCAAAGACTGGTCACGAGCTTACGATCTCTTCGCAGAAGTAATTTCATGTCTGAATTTGTGTCCATTTCTCTCAATCGACTCCATAGAGCCGTTTATATCGCGACCGACGGCGGAAGGCTTTGCAGACCCTATATTATAGTCAACACCCGATTAGGTGTTCCCAAAGTGATGTCCAAACATATGGTAGCACTTAATCGAGGAATTATGGGGTTTGAAGACTTTATTCGCGAAGGTCTGGTCGAGTACTTGGATGTGAATGAAGCCAGTGATGCACACATTGCCATCAATGAGGACAAGATTAAAGCTGGTGTTACCACTCATCTGGAGATCGAGCCGTTCACGCTATTGGGTGTCTGCGCCGGAGTTATTCCTTATCCACATTGCAATCAATCGCCAAGAAATACCTATCAGTGCGCAATGGGTAAGCAGGCGATGGGCACTATTGGACTCAATCAACGGCAACGTATAGATACTCTACTCTATCTGTTGTCTTACCCTCAAAGACCAGTGGTTAAGACAAAGCCAATTGAATTAATACATTACGACAAACTGCCCGCCGGTGCCAATGCTATGGTAGCCGTCATGTCTTACAGCGGTTTTGATATCGAAGACGCGACTGTTATGAACAAAGCGAGTCTCGACAGGGGTTACGGCCGTTGCTTCGTCTATAGGAATCAGAAGTGTGTTCTCAGAAGTTATTCCAAATTTAATAATATTAAGGACAGAATAATGGGTCCAATAGTGTCGGCCGATCCGCCCTATAATCCAATCGCTAAACACGCGTGCCTTGACTTGGATGGCATCGCAGCCCCGGGAGAGGTGATCGCCAATCGCACAGTTTTGGTGAACAAGTCGTCGCCTGTTATTAGCAATATTGACGACACAAGTCTTCCGAATGCGGGCGGAAGGCCTGGAATGGATTCCACCACTTATAAGGACTGTCCCGTCACTTATCGAGGCATTGAAGACGTTGTCGTCGAGAAAGCGATGATTACATCTAACAGTGAAGAATCCTTTCTAATAAAACTACTGTTGAGACAAATGCGTAGACCAGAAGTGGGCGATAAGTTTAGCTCACGACACGGACAGAAGGGAGTCATTGGTCTCATTGTTCCTCAAGAAGATTTGCCATTCAATGTGAACGGCATTTGTCCGGATATGGTTATGAATCCGCACGGATTCCCCTCTCGCATGACTGTCGGCAAACTCAAGGAATTAGTTGCGGGAAAGTCAGCACTAATTGCCGGAACACTACACGACGGGACAGTGTTTGGCGGTACGACCATCGATGAGATATCAGATATTATGATTAAATATGGGTTCAATTATAACGGCAAAGAGACGCTGACGTCTGGCATTACTGGCGAACCACTCAGTGCTTACATATACTTCGGACCCATTTATTATCAGAAACTAAAGCATATGGTTTTGGACAAAATTCATGGCCGTTCTCGAGGGCCACGGGCTGTACTCACTCGACAACCCACTGAAGGTCGGGCTAGAGATGGAGGCTTACGGTTAGGCGAAATGGAAAGGGATTGTCTGATAGGACACGGCGTCAGTATGTTATTACTGGAAAGACTATTACTATCGAGTGATGCGTTCGATGTGGACGTCTGTACCGGTTGTGGACTTCTTGGATATCAGAAGTGGTGCGCAAAATGCGAGTCCAGTCAGACGTTGGCCTCCATTCAGATTCCATATGCATATAAACTACTCCTTCAAGAATTGCAAGCCATGAATATTCAACCAAAACTCAAGCTAACAAATCTGTGATCTTTGGCTCAAATCTATACAAACTTTATAATTGTTTTCAAATTGCAATTAAATATCACTTTCAATAATATGCTATTAATATCTAATGATTTCAATTTTACTTTCACTTATATTTGTTGAGTTTGTATTTAATTTAGATTAAGTTTATTACTTTAATATTGAGATAAATGATAGATAAATCATATTTGTAATGCATTTATGATGATTAGATGTTGAACACGTGTATAGGGATGCAAAAGCTATAATTGTAATTTAGAAGTGGACGGGCGGTGGGAGAGCGACAGGGATGTAGTGTTGGAAGTGTTAAGACAACTGTTTGTCAGGCAATATGTGATGAAATGATGACATTAGAGAGTAAACATCAAGTGATGTTCAAACGCGAGCACTCACTCGAGTCAGCGCTTGTGTTCAACACTAACGCCAGTCAAGTGTTTGGCAGACATTTGAATGCATTGACTGTGTTTTGAGGCAATAGTAGTGAACACATATCATATGATAAGATATATAATAATAATATTGTTTTATAAATAATAGATTGCATTACATATATCAGTGTCTATGTGTTGGATATATAGTGGCCATTGCCTGCCAGAGAGAGGGAGAGAGAGAGAGATGGAGAGTGTGTGAGAGAGGGATGGAGAGAGTGTGAGAGAGAGAGAGTGTGTGTATTGCTTGGTGGTGAGTGTCGTGAGTGAGCACAGGTTGTGAGTGCTGTGAGTGGTGTTGTGAGCGCTGTTAGTGAGCAGTGCTTAGGCAGTGTAGTGTTGGGTACAGTAGTGTTGGTGTTTGTGGTAATAATAGTAATGATTGTGTGATATATAACAGTAATATAAGCGAAGAAATGGCTGCAAATCCGCGTAAATTCAGTGAAAAGATTGCTTTACATAACCAAAAACAGGCCGAAGAGACGGCAGCCTTCGAGCAGATCATGAGGGAAGTGATCGGAGCCACAAGAGTTAGTCCATTCTCACCATTTCATTGCTTACCATCTCTTCTCCTCACTCTCCCTCTTCTCCCATACAAAACATATCCACTATTTGTTTACCTTTTTTCTCCTCTCAAACCTCTGGTCTATATTTAAATCCAATTGTTTTGTCTATTATTTATGTTAATTGCAAACCATTTGTTCAATGCTTTCAATCATTTCGTATAATTAGTACTCAATTGAGTCTCAAATGTAATTGTAATGAATGTCTCGATTCATAACTTGATATCCATTTCCATGTTTTAATTATAACCGTAATTATAATTGTAATTATATATAGTTTTATTATTTGTTTAAATTAGTCATCATTTGTGAAAAATTAACTCAAATTTAGGTGAAAATAAGGGATAAATGAGAGACTCATTGATTGAAATGAAGACATATTAATTAATTAGTGATTAAAACGCTTAATGAAAGTGTTATGAAAACAAACGGTATTAGAAATGATGTTAATTAATAATTAATGAATATTTTGGTTGAATTGATAGTGAAATGCAGTTCCGATGCATTTATAGCCAATAATTGTGTTTTAAGTGAGATTTTCCTCAAAAATGTCAATTAATTGAACACAAGGTTTGCAAACATATGAACACATGATTTGTTAGGATTTGTATGTTTTTGTGGCCTTGAATTCAAACAAAACATTTAAATCTTACTTTACATACAATATTAACCATAATATAAGACAATTATATGATACAAACATACCATGTGTTTAGGGGCCGACATATCCCAAGAGCCAACAACATCTGCATATATCATCATCGATGGTCTGTAGGGCGGGATCTTTGCCTAATGTCAACCAAATTGGTGGCAATAAATCGGGAATTGATTTGCAGTCAGCACTCAATAACTTAGAGGATATTAAACACGGAAGGGATGACCGCATGGGTCGACGATATGTGAGTATAAAGTGTAGTACCAGTGGATAGGATGTGAAGCCATAGCTATAATGGATTTGAATTGCAGACCAATGATCAGAAGCGGAATGTGGTTTCGCCGAACTCTGTGTCATATCTAAGCCCTCCTCCGGACACGAATTGGCGGCGGACTAACTCGGACTCAGCCCTACATCACAGCGCACTCATGTCTGCGAGTCCTCAGTTGGAGGCCTTCCAGAACTCGATTCCCAGAAGAAGTACTGTTCATGACGTCGACAGTTCAATGGCTGTCGACGACTCGGCTGTCATTGACTCGTGGGATCCGGGAAAGCAGGACAGATATGATCGATACGACAAGTATATACTGAACGCTCCACTGCCTGACAGCTCGCGCCCCAAGTCTTGTGAAGTGCCCGGAATTATGATATGTCCGACTCAGGAGGACTACAATTCAGCAAACAATCATTTGCCACATATTCCCATCTCTTCAAACACTGGCTCATTGCCAGACCTGACAAGTCTTCACTTCCCGGCGCCGCTCTCAACACCCATCGATGTTGACGACCAGAATCCGTGCATTCAATCCAACTCTCCCTATCACAGCGGCCCCGACTCGCCTTATTCTCCTCATTCACCGCACAGTAATGCAAACCTCTCTCCGCCGCCGCCGATGGCTATCCAACAAATGAATAATAATATGTTATATCAGACGCATTCCGGCGAATTCAACTCCGTTAGCGACTCCGTGGCTATCAATAACTCGAATCACCGCCAGATGAGCCCATCTCCCGGTCCATCGCCATCGCCGACATCATCTCGTCGTCGCCATCACCACAATATCAATAACTTAGTGATTGGTAATCCTCGACATCAACACCATTCAAGTGGTCCGCACTCGCAAACAGTAGGTTATGCTCAAAGTTCTCCATGGATTACAGTAGAGGTAAGGCGTCAGCCATTGTGGTGTCATTACTGTCTACTTCTTAAGAAGTCGCTCTTAAGAAGCTGTCACTACTTTCCTTACAATCTTTTCACTTCACATGTAAACGTCTCAATCGTTTCAACGATCTGAACGCCTTATGTCTACTTTAATCTCATTTCCGCTTTTTGTTGCTTTTCACCAATGATTTCATTACAATTAGTTTATTAATGAATTGCTTTAAACGTTTAATTGCTTGAAGGGTTTGACAATGGATACGAGTGCTCTAACACTCAATGGTAACTCACATTATGTGACTTCCTCTGGAGGGCCGCCTATGGCTTATTCGTCAGAGCAATACCAGAGTTTACAACATCAGAGCCAAAACTTTGTGCCATCCGTGCCATCACAAGCACAGCCAAAACCACAAAATCCTTTGCCCATAAGACAACCCAACTCTCCATTGCAGGTCTCATCTAATCAATTGCCTTCTTGTTATCATGTGTTTAACGAATATTTGTATTTCATTCGACAGCCCATTCCAATGGGTTTGCACAGAAGCACAACCCCTTCGGACCATTCATGCAGTGCACCGGCATCTCCAGTGTCTCATATCTCTCCAATAAACTCTCCCGGTTTGCCGACTAACCATTTAAGCAAAAGTCCGTTTACCGACAACTCATACTTCAATGTACAACAAACAAGTGTTTTGCAACAACAATTGGAACAGTTCCGTATGGTTTCAGACAAATCCAATGATCCTAACGATCATTATTTTATGGTAAGACCTGTTATGACTAATTGAAGGCATTTCCTAAATGACGTATAATTGTTGGATCAGATGTCAGGAAACGGAACCATTCACTCGTCGGGAAGCAGTGCCAGTTCGAGCACCGGTGGCCTATATATGAGCTCTAATACCATGCAATCGTCGCCTCGAGGACTGAGTGACACGACTGGCGTATTGAATGACTATTCGTCGCCACATATATCTCAATCGTTGACCAACACGTGTGTCAACAGTCACCACACTTATAGCCAACCAAACACTATATATTACACCTCATCGAGCAGTTCGGTGCCATTGATTGAGTCGCCGACTCTGGCCTACAATTCCAAATCAGTGATCTCATCGCCCAATCAATACCAACAATCAAACCATTCAAATCAATCCCAAACGCCACAAACCCCTACCAGTATTCCCGACATCATTCTCACAGGTATTGTCACCGTTTATTATATACTCAATAATGCCATTCAATCTTTTGCTTACTCTCTATTTATTAATATTATTTATTAATTCTATCACTGATTTGACAAAATTTAAGATTAATGAAGTTGAATATGCTCAAAATATGCATTATATAGTATAGGTTATTTTGTCAAATGTTGCCTTGTAAAATTCATGTTAATTGTTTTGCAGTATATTATTTACCCTAAAGGGTCATAAATTGCCCATATTTTCAAGGCTTTAACTACAAGTTTCAAGAAGTTTACAATAATTGTTAGAAAGTTTATACTATTGAAGCGAACTGCGGACCAAAATGTTTTAACATTTGTTATCTTATAAACAGTTATTTGAATTATAAATATTTAGAAGAAGTGAATTGTTATTATTTTTTCTATTTATATATTTTGTCATTTTTGTTACAATTTGTGTATATTTTGCCAATTGATGAAAAATAGTGTAAATTACAAAACTGTAATAATGTTGAATATAATGCTTACAATATTTTGAATGCATTGAAGCTATACTTTAATGATTGTATATAATGTGTATAATAGGGCCGAATATTGACGACCCGTTATTGCGGGGAACAGACTTTGCTAAAGACATTGGGACAGCGATGGCAAGTATGTCGAGTTCGTTCGACACGGATCTGTTCCCATCAGCAGATGAGGCGATGAGGGCTGGTTTGGATCCCATAGACTTCGATGGACTACAAATTCTGCCGGACATCGATCCCAATAATGAAGACGCGTATAGATTAGAGCGCTCTTAGCTTTTTAATCGGACAATGGCTTTGATTTGAAGTCATTTTTGTTGTCTTGAATACAAATTTATATATTAATATCTTATAATGTCTTTTATAAGACTCTGTTTTTTGCATCTCTGATAAGCCAACCAATCATTTCTGTTTCGTTTAACATTATATTTGAAATTTGAAATACTTTTTATTTGTAAATAACTTAATCTTAAGTTGATTTAGATTTATGTAAATATTGATACAAAATATGTGGTTCTGTACAGCCGTTGAAATAATAAGTTTTTTAAATACATAATTATATATCTATTGTTTCGAAACCATTATATCTTCATTTGTATAAAATGTTGAGACATTGAGAAGTTTAAAACTTTATATAATTTCATTATTTCTATATTTAAATATATTTACAAATATATATATATAAATATAACTTTTTATTATTGAATCAATGATTGCTTAAACCAATTGATTCGCATATAATTGTTATTACATTAAGTTTTTCATATCTAATATAAAAATATGTTTTTTGATGTTATTATAAATTTTTTATTATTGTTGATTGAATTTGAAATGTATTGTTGTAATGAATCGTTTGTCATATGATTGCAATCAATTGGTCTATTTTGGCGACTAATGGCAAGAGTTATAGTAAAGACAATTGTGAACATAAAAACTATAAATAATTGATTTGAAATTTTTTATAAATATATCATTCAATAATCCAATCAATTATACGATTGAACACTTTATTAAGCTTATAAACTAATAACAATTATAACTATTAACTAAACAATCTATTGAACTCTTTTTAATCAATTTATTTAATTCTGATTTCACACTAAAAATCTAAATATGAAATAATTTGCTAAAAATATTTACAATTAATCGCTTCTTCTCTTCTTTTCTATTGATTGTATGAATAATTTGTCTATAAATTTGAGCGAAGTTTATATACCAATAGGTACTCAAAATTCAATCAATTATCTTATAATTCATTATTTTGAGCTAATCTTCAAATTGAATGCCGGATAAAAACACTTATTTATATAAATATTCAATTAATACTATTTTACTCGAGTTTGATCTCTAATTGTAACCTCAAAACTATTAATAACTGCTTTATTATTCAAAAGATTTTCAAATCAATAAATTTCATTTTCTATTTTCTATCAATCATTTTCTCATTTGTCTCATCAAATTGAGTCAAGTATCCAAACCATTAACAACCATAACATTCACAACTACTTCATCTCCAATTTCACTCAACTTCATCATTACTTTTGTAATTACTGTATCTTATAGTATGAAACAACTCACACAAGCGATGCTATGCGTTAACCACAATTCGGCAAATGCATCAAGGATTTTTAATTGTTTAAAACTTTTGTTAAAACTAAAGTATAGCCATAGGATTAACGTGGAATATCTTGTTAAATCCCATAGGGTGGGGGAGGGGAAAGGGATAGCGTCGAGATCCTATAAACCACATTTTTCACAAATAAATTGTTAAAAATACACCAAACGTATGATCTTTTTAAATGTTTTACAGCAAAGAATATTCTTTACCGATATATCTGTTCATATTTAACATGAATTGTCAACATATGAAGGAATAATACCATTGTTTGATATTTGAGTTTATTTGGCGATAATTAGAGCTGAAATATTGGAGAATAAAAACATGCAAAATCGGTCGGAACCGGGAATAAAATAGTTGAATTCGGGAATTAATGTTTATTCCATTCAAACACAATAATTATTTATTAAAATAATTTAAAAATGAATTCTATTTGACAATAAAATGAAATGTGCGATTTTCGACTGTAAATGAATGTCTTTTATCTATAAGAATATTCTTGAGTTGTCGCATGTTGTGAGTTTGGCGTTTATATAATAACTTCATAACAGATTATTTTAAATTTGCAAAAGCTTTTGATATTCATTTTTTGGTATTTCATTAAAATTTTAATGAGAAATAATATTTTATGGACATTTTTTTTAATACAGTGAGATATTTTGGAATTTTTTCAAAATATGCCAAAATCGGGAATTTTCTCAAAATAAGCCAAAATCCGGAATATTCGGGAAAATAAAAGTTGTTTATTTTGACTCTATTAGTGCCCTTAAGACTAACTGGATGTTATTCACGAGCATTATATTATTATAAGAATTCCCGAATATTTCGAGCTCTAGTGATGACATTCCATATAAATTATATGATATAATTATAAGTTATATCACAATTAAAATTAAATAAATTAAATTATAATACAATATAATATATGTTTACGTTATATAGCTTAAAAATATAATGATAAATTATAAACGGCTACACTATACGGTCTGAGATTTTAATTAAGTCAACCGATATTCATTCAAAATCTTCTTAACTATCAAAATGTTTCATTGCATTATTATTCCTTATAATTTTAAATTTTATTTTATAATTAATTATTTGTAAAATGAATTACTACTACAATATTGTACAGTAATATATAAATATATTGTTAGACATTTAACATTGCACAGAATTTAACCATATTATTGCCATTATTGGTATAATAACAGTAAAACGTGAGTTTGTCCTAACTATAGGCAGTTTGTAATTCAATTTATGACATAATATTTTGACAGATATTATGTTCTCATAAAATATAAATTATTACAAATGTATAAAAGATGTGTAGACTTACAGATGATTTGCGCAAAGAAAAGCCAGAATCCGCGTATAGTATTCGAGTTGGAGTTCGCGCACAGAATACTAAAGAAAATTCATCTCTCGATGTCTCCATCTTTGCAGTCAATTAGCTTTTGTTTAGACGAATAAATTGAGAGAAAAGAATAATTAAAACATGAATGTGGAAATAATGTCGACCATAACGTACATAAACGTTACAAACTTTAACGATTCACAACAAGGCATGCCATCAGAAGTGGAGAACAGTTCCAAACGAGATATTATAATATACAGTATTTTGTTCATCATATCTGCGGCCGGAAATATCTCCGTCTTCACCGCCTTATTGAGGAATCGAAACCGAAAATTACGAATAAATCTATTAATATTCAATTTAGCCATCGCTGACCTAATTGTCACATTCATAATGATTCCTCTGGAGGTCGGCTGGAGGATCACCGGGTCGTGGATTGCCGGAGATTTTGCGTGTCGTCTATTACAGGCGTTGCGAGCATTTGGTCCATATCTGTCATCAATGGTTTTGGTGTGCATTTCATTTGACCGATACTTTGCAATCATTCATCCGTTGAAAGTGAATGACGCCCACAGAAGAAGCATAATTATGCTCACATTTGCGTGGATTATAAGCATTGTTTGTAGCATTCCTCAGGTATTTAACCATTCAGTCATTTTTATTTATACAGTTATATAAAATTATTTATTAATTAAATATACTAAATTTAATTTTTAACTTATTAATTAAATTAATTATAATATAAAAGTAGTAAGTTTACAATTTGTTAGGTTATTATTTGTATTTCGAACTTTATCATTTACACTATTAATACAAATTTGTTAAACTTCCAAGGATTTATGTTAAATAATTGTTAATTACGTAATTGAACTTGGTTATAAGTTATATGATTTTATGGAGTATGATAATGTACACAATATAACAGTAATAGCACAATAATTATTATAGACATGTGAATATTTTAAATGTTTACTGACAACACAATAGTAATTAATGTTATTTATTACAATTAAGTTTATGATTTATTGTTTATTTGTTATTTTATTAAAAATTATAATACATTATTGAAAATAATTTTAGTGATTACATATTAAAATGTCTATGTGATTAAAGTAAAACAAAATTTGTTTGAAATGTTATATAGAGCATAATATACCATGTTGAGTCTCATCCGGATTATCCCTCATTTGAACAATGCGTTACATTTAACTTCTTTAAGACGGCGTGGAAGGAGACCTTCTATAATATATTCTGTGTTATGGCTCTCTATGTTATTCCTCTTCTTATTATCATATGTTGTTATACAAGAATATTATGGGAAATATACCGCAGATCTAAAGATTCTTCAGAGGGTATGCTTTCATATTTGTTTAAAATGTGAATTTTATTCATTAAAATGTAACCATATGTTTGTTTTTTGTAGATAAGAAACGAGACATCAGTAATAATAAGCCAAAACCGGCCGAATATTGCGGTTCAAAGTCAGGACAATTGCAAAGTAATAAATACCAGAATTCATACATAAGTCGAAACCGAATGCATTTGAGGCGTTCGGACGCAACACAGATTGAAAGAGCGAGAACTCGGACGTTGAGAATGACATTAATAATCGTATTGGCATTTGTCTGGTGTTGGACTCCGTATGTGTTTATCGTTCTTCTGTACCAAATAGACTCAGAAGCGGCCAAAAAGTTGGATAAAGGCATTCGCGACACACTCTTCATGTTTGCCGTTTCCAACTCTTGCGTTAATCCATTAGTTTATGGCAGCTATTCGTTGAACTTTAGAAGAATATGGAAAAGATATTTCGCTAACTATTCGTTTACATCATTCAAAAGACAGGATTCCAATAGAGACACGAATACCTCTCGAAGATCTACTTATATCGACGACAACACAACTTATTCTAACGTCGAGGTGAGTCCTCCCAGTCCTCTATCATATGCCGTTGACGCTAACGATTCCATGACGTGACAACTCTTACATCACAACCAGTTTACAGACAAATGATCATTATATCATATAATTTATATGTATTCACTTCATTAGTGAACAATCTGTCATTTGAACACTTTATTCAGTCTATTCTCAGTATTACAAATATTCTTTAATAAATAATTTCTGATAACTTGTAAATAATAACAAAACTATTAAGTTTAATAAATATGACGGTTCTTATATTTTTCTAAATAATTTGCAGTACAAATGCTTTGTCCGATTTTGAGCTTAATTTATACAAAAACTACTGTATTATAAAATGACAAAAAAAGGATATTATTTTGTCTAATATAATTGTTTACTTTATAAATTATAATTTGTTAAATTATTAAAATTTAAATATGGATATAAATATAAAATTTACAATTATCAAGATTATTATTTTCTAATGTGCTCCATTCAAATATAATAATCATATTTTTCTTTCAAAATTAATTTCATATTAAAACGAATTAAAGAAAATATGTTCAATAGATTATACTGTTTGTAAAAAGACAATGATAATTATGATAATGAAAACTATATTACAATATTATATTGTAATCCTTCTTCAGAAATGACAAATATTATTGAATTTCTAATATAATCTAAAATTGTTAACAATGTTATCTTAATGTATTTCCTAAATGTTTACCATTAAGTCAGCTTCCATTCAATCAATTCTTGTTTGTCGTAAACATATTATACGATAGTCTTTCACTTATTATATATCATAGATAAACAACATAACGTAATAAATGCATGTATTTATAGTAGAATAAGTCCATTATCTTGTGATTCATAGAATAATACTTACAGTAATCACAAGATTAATGACTCTTTAATTAACGATATTTCCAGATAATTAGCACAAATCATAAGAAAATGTTATTTGGAAATAATATATTCCCATTCATTAGCATTCCTATTATAAAAAGCAATTAATTTTATTTAATAATAAATTATAGTACATGATAATGTAATAATATATTAGTTAATTTAATATCAAAATTATAAATATGTTATAAAATGCTTGTTAATTATATAGTACTTTGTTGAAGCATATGTAACGTTATTTTACTAATTATGAATGTCAATCATAACTAAAGACGAGATTTTTCGGGAGTAAAAACATTCAAATTCGGGAATATACATGGTCAAAATCGGGAAAATTCGGGAATTACGTTTATATAGAATTTTTAAACGATAATTATGCAATTAAGTGATTCTAAAAAGGTCTATGTACACTTATGACGCAAAATAATGACATTTATTAAGGTAAACATAATTGCCGAGTATATACCCTACGTTTGGTCGAAGGCTGATAGCTTTGATCTGCAGTTTTTCCCTCAATACACCGTCTATTGGGGAGTGCATAGACATACACTATAACCTCAGTAGACATGATGTTTTATAAATAAAACTTTGAAATGTAAAAAAAT